GAAAATGTGAAAATACTGCTTAGCTATTTGTTACAAATTCAATTGGGACAATTAAATTTCATTTAAATAAACTAAATAAGTCAATAACATAAATCATAATTATTTTATTTTTTCTCTCAAAAAAAAGCAAAAAAAAAATCAAAAACATATAAAAAATTCTCAAACAGAGCTAATTAAATTAGACATTTTTCAAAATTGACTCAGTAGAAACGTTCTTCCCAAACCAACCCAAAGGTCATAGGCATATTCATTCTGGGAAAATACTAGGGTAAAAGGGTGCATATTAGGGATGTTCGTGGATCGATTTTTGACGATTTGGTTTGTGATTTGGAAAAAATTGAACTCATAACCACCTACAGTGTGAGTTGCGATTTGTGCAAATAGGATTCGTAGATATACAGGCGGTTTGCGGATTGAACTTTTTCCTTTAAAAATTTATTTTTGGGCCTTTTTTTTCCGTTTTGTAAATATTTATTTTTGGCCATTTTCCCCCCATCTCATGCATTTTAAACCAGAAATAATGAATTATTATTTCAGGAAAAACATTTTTTATTTTCATAAAATTTTCAAAATTTTACAGAAGATAAAAAATTAATTCTGAGTCTAACGGTACCAACCATGCTTAAAACAAAGTTATAACGAATAAATTATGGCCAATTAACGCAATTCAGAATTAAAAACAAATAAACAGAGCCTTAGGCATAAGCAGCCAAGCCAGCCAAGCCGCCGAAGGAAAACGGCGCGGCTCAGCACCGGCTCGGAGCGGCTCGACGCACGGCTCAAACGCGGCTCGGCGCTCGGCTCCAGCACGCGGCGCGCGTGCGAGGCGCGGACGGCGTGCGCGTGGACAGCGCCGCTGACGCGCGCGTGACGGCGCGTGCAGGCGCGTCTGCAGGGCGTCTGGCGCGTGTGGGCGCGTGGAAGCGCGTGTCTGCGCGTGGCAGCGCGTGGCTGCGTCTCACGGTGTCAGGTGGCGCGTGCATACCACGCGCCGCCTTCCAGGGTGTTTTCTGGTCCCATTTTTGTACTGCCAGACTCCATTTTCCAAAATAAAATCATTTATGCTCTTAAAAATGACATCAATGATCATAAAAATGAAATATTTTGGATCTCCACATCTTTTATAAATATACACATGATAAAAGAAAGCAAGAAAATATCCATCAATAGCTCTGATACCAATGTAAATCAAAAACACAAAAACATGCAGCGGAATAAAATGTTTAGATCATACCTTTTTGATGATAGAACCTCGTGGATAAATCACGTGCTTCCTGAATCTAGTCAATCAACCCAGCAGTGAAGTGATATTACAATATTGAATATCACCCACACAAACCACAGTGCAAAATGGCTTGATCGTTGTGTTTTTGGGAGAGAGTCGGTATATGGGTAGAAACAGACTATACGTCTTTTCTCACTTGGTTACACATAACCATATATCAGATATATAATATATTATTATTATTCATCCATATCAGTTAAAACTGATAATATCTATATCCTGAGTGGTTATCCTAAATAGGTTTGAATTCAATTCAAAACCTATTTGGATAAAATCCAAATTATGTTCAAATGATCATGTCACATGGGCGCCCATTACTAACACTCATAAATTCATAGTCTGGTAAAAAATGTGCAAAACTACCACAATTTATTTGGAATGTATCTTAATTGCTAATCACATCCCGCCCACTATGGAGTGAGACAAACATGATTTGAGAGATGATTACATGATTGCATCTTAATATAATGATAGTGGTATGGTGTTGGTGCACTATAAAGGGAAATTACGAAACAGTGAATTCTATCAATTTTTTTTTCTTTTTTTACGAGATAACATGACAAGTATTTTAGCATGAGTAATGTTATTCAGGTTATGATATTTATAGATTTAATTAGGACAAATATTATAACTCAAAATGAGTTATAATTAAAGATCATATAAAATAAAATCAAAGAGTTCTTGAATCATAATTAAAAATAATATTATAACCAATATCATAATTAATCATAACTAATACCACAATAAATTATAATTAATGAGGACATATTTCGTAACTGAAGTATATATGGTACACACCCATAAAATTTTTCCTTCTAGCATATATTATGTATATATATGAAGCATTGTTCCAAGAAAACAAAAGAAGGAATTTCATTTCAAGGTAGACTTAAACAAAAATTACAAATTAATGATAATTTTTATATACATTAATAATTAAATTCATAAACTTTATCATGAATCTATAATAATTTTCTTATAATATCACTGGTTAATAATTTTTCCAAAACAAAACTTCTCCATTACGAAACCATAGGATGTGACTTAAATCAACTGAACGTCTCATGCAAAAATCATGTCATGGTTTTGATGTTTGATCCACAAGAATGTTTGTATTTGTATTTCTTTAATTTGTTATGGGCTTTGGATTAGATTAGACTCTCGTTCCCCACACCAGACAAGTTAAATGGGGAGGTTCATAGGTCGCTATTATATGACATAAAGCTAATTAACTCACTCGTAACAGGCTTTTTTTTTTTTTATTTTTTTTTTATTTTTAACTAAAATATAAGATGAAAAAAAAATTAATATATTTAGAATAATTTTTAGATTTTTCATGAGAAATATTAGAAAAAATAGAGTGAATGAAAAAAGAATATTTGACTTTTAAATATTTATTAATTTTTTGACATTTTTATTAATTTTTTAATTTTAAAACTATTTTAACTCGTTGTGAAAGAAACTATAAACATAAATCAACCCACATTGGTAATTTTAGGGTTGGTTTGAAAATTAGCACCCTACCACAGTGCTGTGATAGACATGCCGTCATTTTGGTGCAAGCAACACATGGATGGATGACAAAAGTAGCCTCAATAAACAACTGTCACTATAGGAAAAAAGGCGTATTGCAGTGGCTTATTTTTTTTTTGGCGTTTATGAAAACACCATTATAGATTAATTAAAGACAACGTTTTGAAGAAATGTTGTCTTTGATCTCAATTAAACAGCATCATATTAGGTCAATTGATTGACCGTCCAAAGCTCTGTCTCTTCCACAACTTAGTCCAAAACCCTTGATTGAAGCTGTAGCTGTAGCTGTAGCTCTCACTGTCACTTTCACTCTCATTCTCAAACAAACTCAGGCCAAGTTTGGCATGTCCAAGAAAAGTCAAAAAGTCAAAAAGTTATTCAAAAAGTTAAAAAGTTAACACTATTCACCAAAAGTCAACAATTACGGCTGCACAACTCTCAATCCTAATTTTTTCCTACAAATCAATTTTTACAATTTTTTATTACACATTTTTTCGTAAAAAATCAAAAAGTTAACCCAAACATCTATATTTTCTTCCTCAATTTTTTAGTCCAAAAAGATAAAAAGTACACTTATTTAGGACACTCCAAACAACCCCTCACTCTCGCTCGCTCGATTGTAGTCCCTCTCATAGATCTCACTCTCGCTCACTCGATTGCAGTCCCTTTCACAGATCGAACTCTCTAGCTGTTCTTCATCGATCTCTGTTGCTCGAGGGCTTTGCTCTAGTTGTTCTTCATCGAACTCGAACTCGAACTCGAACTCGAACTCGATCTGTTCTTCATCAAATCCTAGATCCAAAATCGATCTGTTCTTGAACCAGATCGATCTCTCTTGCTCGTATCCCAGGTACATTTTTCATTCTCTTAATCGGTGAACGAGTGTGAACTATCATCTTCTCTACTTTCTCATTGTCAAATTTGTTGATTAACTCTCTAATTTTTCATTCTCAACAACAAATTAATTTTCATTTATTTATAATACATAAATTGTATTCAGCTGATTAAATTGCTAGTTCTAATTTACATTTTTTTAAATTAATGTAATTTTCAATTTAAAATTAAAAATTAAATGAGTGTTCTCTTGTCTCAGCTGAGCTGATTAACTCTCTAATTGACAGAAATTTAATTTTAATTCATTGAACTAGCAATTCATTGATCTGTTCTTCATCAAATTGCAGATCCAAAATCGATATGTTTTTGAATTAGTCAATTTAAAATTGATTAACTCTCTTTTTAGTCAATTTAAAGGGTTGTTTTTAACTTTCTTTTATGTTTGGATTCTCCTTGTTTGAAATTTTCTCTTTGAAGGTAGATATTTTCACATCAGTTAAATTTAGAGTAGCATTAGTCAAATTTGTCATAGAAAACACATGGTGGGATTACAATGGGTAATGCCTGATAAGGTGGTTGGGTTACTTTAGTGGTGGAGAGGTTTTAAATGGAAGAAGCAGGAAAACAAGATTTGGAATGCCATATCATTAGCAGTAATGTGGTCCATTTGAAAAATGAGAAATGAGTGTATCTTTAATGGGAAGTAGATTCAGATGGAGGAACTTGTTGAATTGATAAAAGTAAGAATTGCACTATGGGTCAAATCACACTTAAAGGATTGCAGGTACTCAGTGCATGATCTGGTCTCTAATCTGTATCAGGTTAGGTTCTCTTTATAGTGTTACTGATGTGTATAGCATTGTGCTACGGCTGCTATGACAGAGGAGAAGCAGAACATGGTTTGAGATTTTGCTGATGCTACTGTGTCTGCAGCTGCTGTGATAGAGGAGAAGCAGAACATGTGGAAGGCTAGATTTTTTAGATATATTTCATTATACTTTTTAATTTTTTTGCTTTGTTGACTTTTTTTTACTAGTGGCTGCAGCTTGTGATTGTTTTTATAATTCTCTTATCAATTCTGTTAATATAAATTTTATTGGTGGCTAATTAACTAATTAATAATTGCAGACACAAATAAAGAAGCTTGGGGCATAATCTAATGCTACAGACGAAGAGATTATCATACAGATTCTAGGGCCTGAGCGACTTGGTCGTGTTTGAACATATGGATTGGGTCCTTCTCTGAAAAATGTCTTTAGAGGCGGATATAGGCAATCACAAGAACAAACTCGTATCATCCAAATGCAAGTCCAAGAGTAACTTAACCAATATAAAGCACAAACGGAGATGCAAATGAAGGAGATTATGGATGCTATGCTTAATCAACAGAAAGTACAAATGGAGATGGAAAGCACAATCCAAGCTCAACAAGCACGAATAGAGCAATAGGAGTCTCAACAGGCCATGGGTGGCCTGTTGCACCAGCTGCTACACATATGCATTCACAGCATCAATCCCATGCATACACCTCATCATTTAATTGCCATCGTTTGTCCGAGAAAGTGAGTAAATAGTTAATTATGAAATTTTCAATATGACATTTTATTCATGTTATTTGTTCTTATCAAATGCAGGTTCACATATCAAAGAAAGAAAAGAAGAAGAATAAGAAGAAGTAGATGTAACATACTCAATGAAAGAAGGCTGCTAGAGTCTACTGAATTCAAGGTTAGAACTGTTCCTAATTTTAGTTTATTTGTGAATTTTATTTTATTAATGAAAGGTGTCTCTGTTTTGTAGTTTGTTTTTTGTCTGTCATGGTTTGAAACTTCATTTTGAGATTTTGTTTTGCTTAGATTACTTGATTCAACTTGACAAGCCTTAATTCCAATTACTCGGGGTTGATTACACCCTGCATATATCCATAACTTTTTACTCAGCTTTACGTAGAGCTAGTGTGTTCTGAGTTTTGACTAGATAAAAGGTTTGTAATATTCTGGAAACCCAACAACGTTGGGGTTACCATTGGGGATATGTTAAAACGTTAGAAAAATTATTTGGTTTGTAATTTCAAGGACCTTCGGGTAATTATGTGATTCAGCCATCCTAACGCACAATTAGCACACATTGTAGTCAGGTACGTAATATGAATCATAGTTTATAATCATTATTTATATACTTATTAACATCTTATTTTGTTGTTCTTGGTCCAAGGTTTTCAATCTAAATATTGGTGCTAATTGGCATACACCTACAAATATTGAACACCTTGGAGACAAGCCGACAACTCAGGTGGAAGTTTGGGTTGATGTGACCAGTTGTGAGAAGTAGCTTTTGGAACTTCTTGATGTAGTGAACTACTATTAGAGTATTGTGTATTGTTGTTAGATTAGCTACTAGTTGTTAATTTGTATCGGTGCTTAAAGCTGTTAATTTGTATTGGTACTTTGGATTGAACAGTATGTTATCTTTGCTTCATTGGCATGTATTGTTGCAAAAGCAACTGATGGGAATTGAGCTGGTCTGTTTTTTCAGTTTTATATGATAACACACACACACATAATCGTTGCATCATTGGTATGTATTGTTGCAAAAGCAACTGATGGGAATTGAGCTGGTCTATTTTTTCAATTTTATACGATAACACACACAAACACACAAAAAGTGGCATTTGACGGAAGGTGAGACGGATGTCAAAGATTTTGCGGCATTTTAAAAAACGCCGTCTAATATCTTTAGCGACGTTTTTCAAATGCTGTAAAGCTATTGCGGCGGCCGTATCAGCGATGAAATTATTACACGTCGCTGTAAGTTTTTACAGCATTTTCAGGCTTTTAGCGGCGTTTTAAAAAAGCCACTATAACTCAAATTTCCTGTAGTGTGTTATTAGTTTTTCTTTTTGTAGTTTTATAATATTTTTTTTATATCTATCCATCTTATTTTTATTAAAAGATAAATAAACAAAATAATATTTAACAAAATTAAAAAAAAAGGTCAAATTCTTAATTACTTTTTTATATAACAATAAAACTATGAAAATTGTTAATTGAAATATATTTCTGAAATCATTAAAACTATCAACGGCAAATTACACTGGTGGTCCATATATTTTACCCTATGTGTCATTGTGGCTCCTACACTTTCAATTGACTCAATTTTGGCCCATAACTTTAGATTTTACGTCAATTTGGTCCAATTGATAATATTGTTAGTGTTTTTTAAGAAAAAATATCACTAAATTAGATGAGATTAACTTACTGAGTTAGGTAAGTTTATAGTTTTGCCCTTAAAAATATGGCACATGACACTTATGTGCATATTTTTCATAAAAAAATGTCGAGAGTTGTAATCAATTGGACCAAATTGAGACAAAGTCATAAATTCAAGATCAAAATCAAGCTAACTGAAATTACAGAGACTAAAATAACACAATAACCAAAGTATAGGGATTACTGTTGTAATTTGCCCTTTTTTTTTTCTTTTTTTTTAGGACTATAAACCAAAATATATTACTTAAACTTAATTACATCAGTTGCCAGCTCATGCACTGGTTGAATTACATCTCTTCCAATCTTACTAATACATAAATAGTCAAATAACTTGGAATAATATATGATATCATTAATAATAGTAGCAATGAGCCAAGCTGTCTCTTTGCCTTGCTTTTGAAGCATTTTAACCATAACTTGGCAATCCGTTTGAACTGTCACACATTTTATCCCATGTTTGTAGCCCATCGAACAACTTTCAAGCATGCCTTCGCCTTAGCCATCAATGGAATTTGGAGGAGATGTACCAATAGTGTAGTTTGATTGATCATTTGGTTCTTGTTATTCAAACAAATCCACGCTAGCCCCGCACTTTGGTGAGGTGATTTCCATGATCCATCAATGATGAGTGTACATGACTCCACAACATTCATAGGTTCTTGAATTTTTTTGCAAAACACACAAGTCAGATCTTTTATCCTCAACTATAGCCATATTATCAGTGTGTATAAATGATGCTGAAAGTGCATTATTAAAGACCAACACAGATAATGTTTGTGCTTCTTCGATTGTGCTTTCAATAGTTGGAAAATTCGGATTAAATACCACACTGTTCCTTTGCAGCCGGATAGCCTAAAGAATGGCCACTAAATGAATGATAACTTGATTATCCTTTACTTGTTCAACCCACTTCTTAAACCATCGGAAGAAAGACACCGGTGTTCCAATACTAAAATCAAGCCCCAACGTAGGCCTTCTCCACACCCTCTGTGACCAATGACAATAAAAAAACACATGTTCTAATGTTTCATCATTATTATTGCATCGAGCACACTACGTATTTATAGTCACTCCTCGCTTCTTCAATTCCCGTTAGACTAGAAGTATTCTATAGAGACATCTTCAAATGCATAAAGTCCATTTATGAGGCATGCTTAAATGTCACGATTTTTTCCATATCACTTGTTCAGATGCATTCCTATAAAACAAAGGGTAATTTTGAATCAAGGCTTGTTTACAGCCAGATTTAACTAAATATTCCCCATCTTTTAGAGGACTTCAAACTAGCTTATCCTCACAAGGATGAATTGAAATGTGAATTGCTAAAATATGCCTTATACATCTTCTAGAAAAAAAAAAAGACGAATCAAATTTTCTCTCTAACAACCTTGGTCTTTATCTATAAAAATGCTCTACCCTTATTTCTGAGAAAAAAAAGTCTATGAAGCCCTTTCTCTCTTAGTGGGTTAGATACTGCAGGAATCCATTGGTCCTTAAAAGGCAAAATGTGTTTTCCATTCCCCACTACCCATTGAATACTCGAGTTTAGCATATCCCTACCCCATAGAATACTTCCCCAATCCCATGTACAAAAAGTGCCTTTATTAACTATCAAAAAAGGTTGATTATGACAATACTTACCTAATAGGACTTTGGACAACAACACATTTGGATTAGTGACCAACCTCCATGCCTATTTTGCTAACAAAGCTTGATTAAAGCATCTAAGATCCCTGAATCCCAATCCACCCCATTCTTTTGGAAAACATAGATTAGTCCACTTCTTCCAACACACTCTAAAGCGTTTCTAGTTTAGACCCGACACAATTGATGTTTTGGATCCGAGTTTCATTGTCTTATACTGTTGTTCATGTCTTGTTTCCCCTTACTTCACTTTGGGTTTGGCTATTGGAATGTGTTAGTGGCATTTGGAATTGGTTGGTAGCTTGTTTTCAAATTGTTGCTATCCAAAATTTTGCTTCTTTGCTCGAGCGGCACTTCTTGTGCTCGAGCGGTCTTTATGAACTTTTAGTATTTTTGCAGGTCTACAGAGATATTGGGAGTTGGCACTTTCTGCTCGAGCGGTCTTTCTTGTGCTCAAGCAGTGTTTGCTCGAGTGATATTTATTGAGCTCGAGCGGTGGTCTTCTGTCTGCAAAACTTCTGGGAGTTTGTATTCTTCACTCGAGTGAAAGTTCCTGTGCTCGAGAGGTTCCATGTTTTTGTGTCTTGATGCTTGAGTGACACTTCTTACACTCGAGCGATCTGTGCATATATTAGTTCGCAAGGTCCCATTTTTTAGTCACTTTTTTGCTCTACTCTCTCTCTGTCTCTAAACTTTCTAAGAATCCTAGATCTACACCCTCTCTCTCTAAAACTCTACTTTTCTCTACAAATACACCTAGATCCGTCAAGTTCTTCACCCGTGTTCCTTTGTTAAAAAGATAGAGCACGCCGTGGGCTTCCTTTTGACCTGAACCAAGTTAGGTTTTGAGCGTTGTTGAAGTTCTATCACTCTTTATCTCGTCTTCTAAACTTTAGGTTGGGATTTTTCGCACCTTCTATGAGTTTTAACTTAGCTATTTGCAATTTCTAAACAATATTGTGATTTTGGGAATTTTTGAAACAAATCTAGGGTTTTGGGGTAAAGATCAAAGGAGGGGTTTTTATAATGGATTCTTGGAAATATTTGTGGTGTAGGAAATAAAGTTAAATTGTGATGAATTGATTGTTTTTGATAATTGGGATTGATTTTGGAAGAAAAAAAAGATTTTGCCCTAAATGTCTCAAATGTGGATTTTATGTGAATAATGAATTGATGTTGGGAATATGGAATTGGATTGGTTTTGATGAGGATGGTGTAGTTGTATATGTATTATCACTCATATCTCAAAATTTTGAAAAGGGTACCTTTCATGAGATTTAAATATCTGTTTAGAAATATCTGTTTTGGACTATCGGTGGAGGATAGCTATGACTATTGTAGAAATTGTATGAGAACTAGGGGAGTTGAAACTATTTTCTCATTCATTTACATTGGGCATTATCTCACATTTATACATTGAAAATGTTTATCATTTTGAGAAAAATGGGTGAATCTAGAAAATATGTATTGTCTCGTTGAAATAAGTTGGCCTGAGTGTCCATAGTGAAAGTCCTAAAAACTGCGTGTATACATGGGTGCCGATCCCGCGGACAGAATATCTGTAAAATGACAATAATAGTGCTTGTATAGCCTACGTTTACATGGGAGCCAGTTCACGGTTTCCCGCGGATAAAATTTCCATGTAAGGTTGTATTTGTTTGAGATTTCCAGAGTGTGATTCACTGCCTTGTTTTGTATTATAAAGGAAATGAATTTTGATATTAACATAGTATTGCATAGTTTTGGAAAGAGATATAAAATATTTTCTCACAAGCATTGCACATGTATCCACCATATAGCTTTGTTAAGATTCATACATTGTGTTGGATTATTTCTACTGGGCTTTGGCTCACCCTATATAGGAAAATATTTCAGGCACTGATGATATGCCTCTGCCATGGAATTAGCTTGGAGAAAGACTTGGAGCAAGAGCTTCATCTTGTTGATTTTTGTATATGTTTTATACAGGCTAAGGGCCTTTAATTGTATTAGACTTGAATTCCACTTTCGTTGTAACCAAGCACTGTATTGAAAAGTGGTAAGCCTTTAGGGCATTTATTATCTATTTTATTCTCATATCTTATCTCTTGTTGTAACATATGCTATAGATTTAGGGTTAGACTTGTGAATGTCTATCTGCATATGTTATCCTTTTGTACAAGTAATTAGGATTAATGGAAGATAACTATTTCATCGCATGTTATTACGTAATTAATATTGTGGATGGTTTATTGTAATTATTTCAGGGCATTACAACTTGGTATCAGAGCGTACCGGGTTTGAATGCTTTGGGTACATGGTAAATGGTTCTTACGACAATGGGTTTATCTCGCTTGATAGAGATGTTTGTATGTTTGGTATGCTATGTGACAACATTCTTATGTGATTATATGAGTATGAAATTTAATTTCTAAGATATTGATTGAGTCTATGGGTTTATAGAAGTCTAATTAGAAGAGCACCTGATCACTGCTATTTTTAATTGGAACTCTGGCAATGTCGTGGGACGATCATTATTTATGAAGGAAATTCGTATGTATTTATGTGACTACGTGCTTATGTGGAGTGAATTACTGTTGTCCATTGCCTTAGGACGCGAGTGACTTAGCTGTGGCGCATTTGTAAATGTGCTAATCTCTTTGTTACCTTC